AGACAGACAGATAGACAGACAGACAGACAGACAGACAGACAGACAGACAGACAGACAGACAGATAGATAGATAGATAGATAGATAGATAGATAGATAGATAGATAGATAGATAGATAGATAGATAGATAGATAGATAGATAGATAGATAGATAGATAGATAGATATTCTGCATGTGTTCACAAAAAGGTTCAAACAATAAAAGGTGGTAAAAAGTGACTTTTTGAGGGATATTTCTGTAAAAACACAACTGTGTGACACACATCATCAATCAATATGTGGGCTGATTGTTTCCCCCACCCCACCTGCCACACACACACACACACACACACACACCACCACTTGTTGCTTTCACTATTCAGTTTTGTGACCATGGTTGTTGTTGCTGTTTGGACAATTACTGATAAACATTGTTGGGTTATCTTTTAAAGTGCAAGCTATACAATATTATTCTCCTTTTTCTTGTCAGAGCACCATCAAGTTCTACAGGTAGAAAAATAAAAATCTACCCCCTATTGTTTGTTCAAAATATATTTGACTTAATTCTTACTTATTGCTTTTTCTCAAAACACTTTAAAAAAATGCACATAGATTTATGTGCTATTTAAGCTAAAAACAATATAAAATAAACACAAAATAAAACGTAAAAATCGTATAAAATAAATATAAATGATGTATGTGTGGATGGCAGCACGGTGGTGAAGTTGGCAGAGCTGCTGCCTGTCAGCGAGCAGGTTACTCCAGTTCAAATCCCGGTCCGGGGGCCTTTCAGGGTAGAGTTTGCATGTTCTCTCCGTATGTGTGGGTTTTCTGGTTTCCTCCCACAGACCAAAAACATGCATGTTAGGCTGAGTGGTAACTCTGGTGTGAGTGAGAGAGTGAATGATTGTTTAACTTGTTTGTCTTTATGTGTCCCTGTGATGGACTGGAGACCTGTCCAGGGTGTCCCCGGCCTCTCACACAACGACTGCTGGACATGGCACCAGTGACCCCCGCAAACCAAAAAGGAAGAAGCGGGTAAAGATAATGGATGGATGGGCATTTGTGGGTATTTTATCAAAGTGTATCCCTGAATGCATGACACACAAGCACAACAAGTTTGCCAAAATAGAAAGTTTTATTTTAGAAGCATTGCACAAACATTGAGGTTATTGAAAATAACGATATAAAGCACAATCAAGCAGCTCAATATACAAAACACAGCAGCTTGATCAAATGGATTCTTTATGTTTTTTTGTGCAGAGCTTTTGCGTTTAGTCTTTAATTCAACTTAAGATGTGACATTTTTGATCATAACTTATCAAAGAAAAAAATAATAGAGCAAAATCCAAAAAAATAAAAAATATGCATCTTCTCTCAGTAAACATGACATGTCATAATGCAGAGAGAAAACAAAGAGAAGAAATAAGAGTCTTCCGTTTATCCAAGTCATGGTTAAAAATCCTTCCTTAAATCACAGTAAACATCTGCACCGAGCTCGTTTCCTCTAATAGACCACTATATTTCTGTAAATATTTTCAGCTTTTCAGGTTATTCTGTGTTGTTTGGTTACTGTCTCTGTTTCCAGAAGAAGTGGCCGTGTGCCGTGCATGTCCTGTCATTCAGCGCTGATTGCGTCGAGCGGGCAGGATCCTCAGGGTGGCCATGATTTCTCGGGTCATGAGCCTCGTCACCTGGTCCAAACTCAGTCCAGCCACAGTCTCCCCGTTCACCTGTAGAATTTCATCTCCAACTCCAAGGAGGCCCTCTACACTGCCGTCACCAACTTTCTCAACATATACACCTAGAGAAAACAGATAACCTTGATGCTGGACAGTTTAGATAATTACTATTATGTTCAATAGAGGCTTTAGCCGAACTATTAAGTTAAACCAAACATTACCTGTGTCCGGTCGACCTTTTCCTCTGGAAATGACAAAACCGAAAGGACCATTTGGGGGTTTGATGAGCTCCAGGAGGATGGTCCCATCAGGGAAAGTCTGGGTGACCCGGCCCACTGGACGCACCATTCTGGAGACGACTACATCCTCAACACTCAGAGTCCTGTGAAGCTCAAAATGGGGTCTGTCTGGGCTGGAGCAGCAGAGACATATTTTATTAGACATGATTTATAAAAGTTTAATGTGATGAAAGAAAATACTCTGATTTCATCTATATCTAATTCAATCTTGTCTCATTTTTTGTGTGTCTTTTTGTCTTTGGCGCCTACCTGGGTGCCAGGCCGTAAGGTATCTGCACCTCCCCAAGTATGGTTGAGCGCTCTGTTCTTCTCTCTAAACTCTGCACAGAGGAGGCTTTACGCAGCTGTGCCAGTGGCAGCACCTAGTGGAGTTGTAACAGAATTGCATTATTAGTGGAGAAAAACTCAGCTGCTCGAATGATGACACTTTAAAAACCCATCCACAAAGAGGAAAAGTCAGCTTTTCTTTTTTGTTTGTTCACCGTGTGGAGGGTCTGCAGTGAGGGTGTCCTCTGTATGCGGAGAGTGGGCTGTGGTCTTCTTGTAGGGCTCGGTGAGGCTGAGCTTGCCCGTGGGACATTGGGCAGACTGAGCTGCTCCATGCTACTGGAGCGGGCCCCCTTCACCAGTCTGCCAACGCTGTTCAGGCCAATAGAGGAAAAAAAGCGACGCAGAAAGAGCTTCGGCCTTCCATCCAGTTTTCTGTAAGAGGAAACATAAACAGAGATCAATAATTAAATAACATCAAAACCTGAAACAATCAATTAACACAACATTGATTTTGTTTAATTGTTTAACATGAAAATCAGATCTATTTCTGTTAACAGAATGGGGGGTGACAATAATTTTTCTTACCACTAGAGGGCAGAAGTGTGTTGTTATTGTAATATTTTTAATCACGGTGTTGCTACCAGTGACACATAAAATTCATACGAGGAAAGAGTTTACGGAGGAAGGCATTCGATTAGAACATTGTTATCTTACGTTACCTGGAACCATCGGGGTTTTCTTCCCATAAAGCCTCAGCTTTCAAATGTTCAGCTCTCAACAGTTCAGCTCTGAGGTCCTCAGACCTGGACATGGCCAGGCCACGAAGACCCCGGTACTCTGACCCAGTACCATTCTCACCATTTAAACCTGCTTATACAAAACAGATGTGAACATAATAGTAAAAAATTTAAAAAAAAGTTGGATTTTAATTTTAGTATGAAAGATGTAATCTTCCATTCAGGTATTTTACATTCACTAAAAGATGAGAGAACATAATCTGTTTTATCCACTTATGTAAGCGATGGCATTACTGCATAAACCTAACAGCTGGAATGGCAGGTTTACATGGGTTTTAAGTGGTGCTGCTTATCCCCCGCACTCACCTATTCCATCTGGAGTGGCATCCCAGAGCTCAGCAGATGGTAGATCTGTGGTGACCCTGACTGGGGAATATCTCAGAGATGAGGGTCTGATACAAGGTACTGGGCTGCTTGTTGTTGCTCCTTGGCTAGTAGACACCGGAGACTCTCGTCTTGTCTCTGAAGAGTCTAGAAGTGATTGGGGTCCACCTTCTCCTCCCTGGTTTGAGGACATGAACTGAACTGTGGACTGACTACAAGCAGAGCGACTTCTTGAGCTCGACTTTAAAGCTGATTTTATAGGCAGCGGTGGGGTAGATGAATCTCTCTGTCCACCTGATGCCTCCAGTAGCTGTGGCTCCAAGGCAACGGGGCTACCAGGGGCAAACGAAACAGATCTGCTTAAGTTAACCCTGTTCCGAGGGTTTGAGTTACGTCGCTGAGCCCACGAGGGACCGTAAGGGCCATGGCCCGACTCCAGTCGGCTTTCACCTTTCCTGCTCCTTCTTCTGAGTTTTCCAAATCCAGATGGCTTCCACCCAGAACTGCTTTCTTTGTCCTCCCCCAGCACATAAGCTCCAGCAAATGTAACAGTAAGGGGAGCTTTAGGGCGAGTACTCGGCTCTGGTTTGTTCGAAGGGGCCCGGCAAGGAGCCAATTTCCCCTGTGAGTCGTCAGAGTTAGCAGACTGCTGTGGTTCACTGTTCTGCGGATCTGATGGGGACGAGGCCGGTTG